GAATAGTGGTCCGGGCTCCCCTTGCGGCCCCTTCCCCTCCTCCTCCTCTCCTCTTGACACCCACCCCCACTGGACCAGGTGGGCCCCTCTGGCCGCGTGGCGGGTGTTGACACGCGCGACTACTGCGTGGAGCTCAGCGCAGACAACGTCGACCGCCTGCGCACCACCAGCCCAGAGTGAGGGGCCCAGCCATGAAGGGGAGGGGGGAACAAAAACGGGACCCACTACCACGCAGCACCACAAGAGGCACGGGTGTACATAGCTTTTTCTGTGCGCAGTTCGGCAAGGCACGGCAGATGCAACGCCCTGGCGTGACAGTTTATGCTCTCCACCGCTCCGACGCGCTGCATGAGCACTCGCACTCTCACGCCCCTGGCGTTGCCCTGCAGCTACGCTGCTGCGTCGTGTGATGTTGAGTTTGAGAAGCACAACATTTTCCTGCCCAGCCGCCGCTACAGGGGCCGGTACAACAAGGTGTGAGCCAGGACGTCGGGGCGACTCAAGCAGGGGTGTGGTGCTGGGTAGTCACAGTCTCTACCCTGGTCGCGGCAGGTGCGATCCTTCCAGCGGTCACACACACATCGCGCCCCTACACCCTGCCTTCCCCGCCCCCCCTGGCCAGGTGTGTGTGGGCGCTGCCTGCCCGGAGGAGCGGGTCCACCTGCTGCTGCAGGTGATCAGGGCACTGGGAGCGCAGGGAGCTGCTGGCACTGGGGCTTGCTGGGCAGCCCTGCACACCTCATCTCTGTGTGCGTGACGTATTTACTTTCTCATTTGATCTGGTCCCATCAATCGCAAATCTTACACCCACGTTGCACGTTCTGTGTGCAGCCGCCCTTTATACGTCACTTGATCCCCGCACCACCTGTGACCCCGGCCTTGAAACGCACAGCTGCTGCCCCAGGAGCAGGGCTCCCTGCTGCTGGCCCCGGTGGACACAGACCTGCGACTCTACGAGAGGAGGCGCGACGGGTCTGCGCGCTCCACCACCATATCCAGCGTCCGCTTCTCGGAGCTCGAGGTGACCCTGTCGAGGGGCTGGCGGCGGCGATGGCGCTTGATCATGGCGGGGGAACGAAAAGGAGCGTGGGTGGGGCCTCTGGACAGCTGTCCTTGGACCGGACACGATACGTCATCGCTGCACAACCAACCGCACACCAGCACACGCACGCCTGTTGCTCAAGCTGCAATCCCCACACACCCAGCTGCTGCCTTCTGCAGCCCTCCGTCACAGCCCCACCCAATGCATGCACCCCCGCCCTCTGCGTCAACGCAGGTGCCGAGTGACGCCACTGTGGCCCTGGCCATGCTGGATGATGCGGCTGCGGAGCGCCTGGCGGTGCAGGTGTCACCCTCCACCTGGGCGCGAGACATGGGGCCGCTCACGGCAGGGGGCACGGGTGAGCAGGGCCACAGGGCTGGTGGGGAGTGCACATC